TGGAAAAATGAAACTTAAAAATAGAGATTTTTTACTCTGGTGCAGACATTATGGACAACAGTATGGAGATTCATTAAAAAACTGAAAATAGGCTTACCCTGTGATGCAGCAGTCCCACTCCTCAGCGTTCATCTGGAGGGAGCTCTCATTCGAAAAGACGCACGCACCCCAGTGTTCACAGCAGCACTATTTACAACAGCCAAGACGTGGAGGCCACCTGAACGTCCATCGACAGATGACCGGGTAAAGAAGCTGTGATATATTTATATATATGTACACAATGGAATACTACTTGGCCAAAAGAATAAAATAATGCCATTTGCAGCAACATGGATGCACCCGGAGATCATCATTCTACGTAAGCCAGAAAGAGAAAGAAAAATACCACATGATGTCACTCATATGTGGAATCTAAAAACACACACACACACACACATGAACTTATTTACAAAACAGAAACAGACTCACAGACATAGAGAACAATCTTGTGATGACCAGCGGGGAAAAGAGGATGAGGAGGAATTGGAAGTTCAGGATTTGCAGACACTAACTACTGTTTATAACGTAGATAAACAGCAGGTTTCTACTGTAGAGCACAGGGAACTATATTGGATACTTTGAAACCTTGGATGTATCCCTGGCTTATTTAATGTTCTTTGTTCAGATAAGATATAAACCTGTGCTGAAACCCTGCTTCTCTGGAGCAGTTCTTCAGAATCACCTGGGAAGTGGACTTCCAGGCCACAGTCCTCAGTTTGGCTCAAACAAAACTCCATTCTTATTATTGATTGCTTATTGATTATTTCCGTTAACTCATCAGTCGGAGTGTTTTCTCCTGATAACAGAGCCGGGGTGGAGCAGGAAGAGACCCAAGCCTGGGCTGAGCTGGTGCCACTCCCTCCCCTCCCCTCCCTGCGGGGCGGGTGTGGGTGATGCCCCAAAACTGAGGGCTTTGGCACAGCAGACGAACAGTCAGGTGGGCCGTTCGGTGATGCTCGTTCTCCGCACCTGCTTGGAGGAATCATCCCCTCTGTGTACGTGGGCAGCATCCCCAGGTGAACAGCCTCAGGGATGCAGACAGAACAATTAGAGTGGTCTTAAGTAGCTGCCTGCCGACTGAAGTGATTTCTAATCAACTTCCCTTTAGCGTTTGCTGAAGAGTGTCCACAGAACATCCGTCGGAGGACGTGGGAGCCCCGCAGAGGGAGGAGGATGGCGTGCGGTCCATGCACACGGGGTGTTCTGGGGGGCGGAGGCCGGGCGGGCTCCTTCGTCACCTCCCTTCCCCGGCCTTTAGGCTCCCGAGTGCCTGCAGGTCTCGCAGGGGGATGCGTTTCCCCAAGCACGGGTGACTGTAGAACTACTTTTGTTTTTGGAAGAGCTCCTATTAACACTTAGTAGAAATGGGATTCTTCTGAGAAATATTTCTAGAAACGTTTGCTGCTTTTTTACAACGTTATGGAAGCATATTTTACGTATCATGTAATCAACCCGTTTCAAGTGGACAATTTGATGCTGTTTAGAAAGTTTGCCAAGTCATACAGCCATCCCCATAAATCAGTTCTAGAGCGTTTCTGTCGCCCCCACTGGAATCCTCCTGCCCATTGACCGTTCACCGCTGTTCCTAGCCCCCCGGCCCCAGGCAGCCACTGATTTACTGTCCGTAGATTGCACTTGAGAACCAGGGCTTTTTTCTTACCGTGGTAAAACACACGCAATGAAGTTTACCGTTTTAAAGGGAACAGTTCAGCGGCATTAAGTGCAGTCACAGTGTTGTGCAGCTTCATCGCCATCCAACTCTAGAACTTTCCACCATCATCCCGAACAGAAATTTTGTTCCCATCAAGCAGTAACGCCCCATTTCCCCTTTCCTCCAGCCCCTGGTAACCATCACAGAACTCTCGTCTGTATGAATTTGGCTACTCCAGGTATTTCATGTAACTAAATCATACGATGCTCATCCTTCTGTGTCCTACTTACTTCCTTAGCATAATATCTTCAGGGTTCATCCACGTTGTAGCTGGTGTCTGGATTTTTTAAGGCTGAATAATATTCCATTGTATGTGTAGACCACACTTTGTTTATCATTCATCTGTGGGTGGACTCTTGGGTTGCTTTCGCTCTCAGCTGCCGTGACTAATGCTGATATGAACATATCTGTTCAGGTCCCTGCTGTCAGTTGTTCTGAGTAGACACCCAGAAGTAGAATTGCCAGGTAATTCTATTTCCGACTTTTTGAGGAGTCACCATACTGTTCTCTACAGCAGCTGCACCATCTCACAGTCCCACCAGAAGGCACAAAGGTTCCAATTTCTCCACCTCCCTGAGAGCTCGTACTGTTTTCTGTGTGGGCTTTTGTTTTTGCTTTTGCTTTTTACAGTAGCCATCCTAGTGGGGGTGAAGTGGTCGGTGACTGTGGTATTGATTTGCATTTCCCTAGAGATCAGTGATCTGAGCATCTTTTCATGTACTTACTGGCCACTTGTGTGTCTTCTATGGAGAAATGTCTGTTCAAGTCCTTTGTCCATTTTTAAATCAGGTTGTTTTTTTCTCGTTGAGTGGTAGGACTTCATATAATCTGGATTTTAATCCCTTGTTAGATACATGATTTGCAAGTGTTTTCTCTCATTCTGAGGTTTGCCTTTTTATTTTCTTGATAGGATCCTTTGATGCAGTAAGGTTTTAACTTTGATGAAGTCCACTGTATCTTTCCTTTTGCTGCGTGTAATTCTGGTGAAAGAAACATTGCTTTCAGCTCTTTAAAATTCAAACAGAAAAGAAGAGCTTACCTGTGAAGTCAAACAAACAAGAAATCTCCCACTGTCATAAAGGGCATTCTTATCTTTCCTCTAGGTACAGTGAGGGGTTTTGAGTTTAGAACTCCCAAATATTTCATTGTGTCGACCACGTGACTTGGCATGTGGCTAAACAAGGTTCTTGCTGTTACTTACTATTAATTTTGCACCAACAGCGTATCAGACACAATCAGAGAAGCAGGTTCGAGCAGCCATCAGCTCCGGAGTGTCTGTCCTGAGAGGGAGGAAGGGCATGTTTATTAGTAAAAACTTTCCATTGCAAGTGACAGAAAACCAATCTAAAATAGCTTAGACAGAAAGGCGAACTCACCAGAAGAAACTCCTTCTGGGGAAGGCGGAGAAGGACGTTAGCTGTCACGTTTTGTCTTAAAAACACAATAATCTGAAGTGACTTTGACAAAATGTTAACGTGCTAATCTGAGTAATGAGTAAATGGATGTCTCTTTTTTTTGAAGTATTTATTCATTTAAATTAATTTTCTCCCTTTATTGGGGGAGGTCTGACGAGTAGCCCTTAATTTCCTTAGTATTCTACGACAGGACATGCCACCGTTACGTGAAATTGTTTAATTAGGGGAAAAAGATTTTTAAACCAGTTTTCCTTTCCAGGCAAATGAACAGAACTGGCAAAAAAAAAGAAGAGAGAGAGAGAGAGAAAAAGAAAATTCACTGGCTCATGTTGAAGAGTATAGTGGTTTTATCTAAACCCAGAGGCTATATCTCGACTTTTTTCTCTGCCTTTCTCTCTCTCAATTTCTTGGCTCTGCTTTTTGGCTTCCTTCTACCCACTGGCCTTTTCCTTTCTTAATGTGTATAACTTCCTTTATGCCTCAGGGAGTGTCACGAGCCACTGTAACATATATTACCTCAGCGTACAATCCTGGTTAATAAGAATATTAAATCCCAGGGAATCCAGAGAGCCTCTCTGAGTCACATGCCCGGCTCTGAACCAGTCCCTGTGGCCAGGGGTCCGATGACCCTGATTGGTTAGCCTGGCTCATGTGCACAAGCCCAAGCCTGCAGCTGGGACTCAGGGGTGGGGGCTTTCTAAAAGAGAGGTTTCATGCAGTGAACCTGCAGAGACACACAGGAGCACGCCTGCTGCATACTGTGCAGGGGTATCTGCCTGGATTCCTTTTGGTGCTATCCTTCTCCCAGTTTTTCTCATTTGTTAGGATTTTTGTGGCGATGACTGTGAACCTTATGGTTTTGTAAAACTGGGAAATGCCCTTTGTCCATGAAGATTCCAAGTGGAAGAAGTATTCGAGAGGCTCTTTGGATTGGGGGAGAAATACCTTTGGAAAGAGGAGGAGTGCACATGTGAGCAGCACAGCTGGAGGGCGCAGCACGGTGAAGTGAGAAATGAAGGCAGAACAGCTGAGTGTCGGTGACTCCTGTCTCAGAAGGCAAGATGACTGAGAGCAGTTTTAATGACTGTGTCTGTTAGAAGGACACCTCAGGATTCTTTTGGTTGCACCTGGTGGAAGACTGCTTTGGTCTAACTGGCTTTGACCAAAGGCAGTCTGCAGCTCACATAACTGAGAAGTTCAAGGATAAACTGCTTTCAGGCATAGCTTGATCTAGGACTCACTGTCTGCAGGAGCCATCTCTGGGCTCCATGTCCCCTGGCTGGACACCTTCCCAGGGTTTCAGTGAACCTCCAGTACAGTTCCAGGCACTCACCCTTATGGCTTCAGAAGCTTCAATCTTCCTATCCTCATACCGCTGAGCCAAGAGCAGGACATGTAGGTGCCAGGATTCCCAGAAGGGGCCCTGAGGCTCTCTGTGAACCGGCAAGCTGAGACTTTGGGAGAGTCAGTGTGGCGGGGGACCTGTTGGGCCCCTCCCTGAACCACATCCCAGGCACTGGAGCTGGAGGCAGGGTTACGCAAATTGGTCCCTAGACCTGAGGATGGGATCAGGCCCACTCAAACCAGACGGCTGAGAAGAGAGGGAGGGCTGGTTTCAAACACCCAAACAAAGCAGGCGAAAACCTGATACTCTTGTTGGGATGAGGGGACAGGTTCTGGCAGCAAACAGGTGTCCATTACAGGGACCATCATTTGACAACTGAAGATGAAGGTAACAATGGAAGATAAAAATGAAGGACCTGGTCAGTGGCGAGTAACAGGGTACTACCTGGGACCAATGACAAGGTCAGCCGAAGTTCCCTGTGCTGGGAAAGGTCGTCTGTAGTAGAGGCCTGCAGGTAGAGGCCTGTAGCCCTTCAGAAGTAGCCACGCAGATCCCACTTCCAGAACCAGTCACTTACTCCCCGACTTCGTATCTTGACTTAAGAACTGTGCATTAGACGCCAAAGACATATTCCCAACACGTTCTTCCCGAAGCATGTGATTTATTCTGTTATTTTAAAAATCCAGTCCGTCTCATCATCTATTATTATACTGTTGTCATCATATATATTTAAACACATTTCTTTAGTGGATTTAAAATGCTTCTATTTTATTCCCTTAATAAATATTCATTTCAAGGTGACAGCCAGATGGGTTTTAAGTAGGAAAAAAAAATAGTTTATCCTTTGAGCAAATTTATTATTGGTGCATTTTCTTATATGCTGTCGTAAAGGCCAGTCTCTCACCACACGTTAATTTTATGACTTTATTTGTACTTCACGGGGAAGCCGAACTCCATTTCACTTTTCTATTTACTCATGGACCGAATCATTTTATTCTCCTTTGCAGAAAAGAAATGTTATATTATATTGGGCATGAATTTATAACAGGTTTGAAGTTCAGCTTGCCGGAAGATCTCTTCCAGGCGGCAGTGCTTGTGGGAAACCTAATTCAGCTTCATTGCAGGACAAGACTATGAGTATTTTTAATCATGGAATTGCCAGCAGAAGCCTTGCTTTGATTTGTGATGTCTTTGTTTATCCACTGTGTTGGGACTAGCTGTGGGTACCGAGTGCCCTCCGGTCCTCCCTCTGTCAAGTCTCAGTAGCTCATGTCCATTTCCGTCCTCTGTGCTCTGTCTTTGAGTAATGATGGCTGCAGTGATGAGCTTAAGAGCAGGGACTCATCAGTGGCAGCACGGTTCCAAGGAGACGTCAGGGTCAGGAGCGTCTGCACCTGTGGACCTGTTCTTCCCGAAGCAGGTGATTTATTCTGTTATTTAAAAAATCCAGTCTGTCTCATCATCTATTATTATATTATTGTCATCATATATATTTAAACACATTTCTTTAGTGGATTTAAAATGCGAGGAAGATGGGGTGCTTCTCCTGTGAGGAAGGCCCCGAGCAGGCGCTGAAAGTGGCATAAAACTCCTGAGCTGTCTGCAGCCTCTGCTCCCTCCGACGCGGGGGTCACGAGCAGGGGTCTTCAGTGAGGTGGCTTACGAGGTGAAGACCAGTGCAGCCCAGCACAGCTCCCTCTGCTTGGCGTGGCTCTGACGCTGGAGCCTCGTGTGCACCTGCGACCTCCGGTGCAGCAGATTCTGGCTGGCTGGATGGTTCTCTGTGTGCGAGTGCCTTGGCAGCCCTCCGAGACTCTGGCAGGTGACGTGGAAGGCCGCCTGCCCTTGGCTGGATGCCTCCGGTTTCCAGTGAGCCAGAACGCGGCACTTACGGTGGTCAGAAAGCTCTGTGGCTTGTTATTTGAGCGATGACAAGAGCCTTGTGTAGACAACACGCAGGAGTCAGATGCAGCTGAAATTTGCGAGGCGGTGCTGTGCATTACGGGCTGGCTTTGTGTCCCCATTACTTGGACTAGGGGACGTGGCTCTTTTCAGTCAATCATGTCTGAGTATTTTAAGCTTTGTAGAACAAAAAGCTTTGACATTACATTTGCTTTTTTTTTTTAAGGTGAACACTTTTTAAGATGGGTATCATATGATGTTGCTTATATGTGGAATCTTAAAAAGGATACAAATTTTATTTACAAACCAGAAACAGACTCATGGACATAGGAAAAAACTGTAGTTACCAGAGGGCGAAGGGGAAGGAAAGCATAGATTAGGAGTTTGAGATAACAGATGCACATGACTATATATTATCATGTATAAAATAGATAACAAGGACCAACAGGGGAACTATATTCAGTTTCTTGTAATGAGCTGTAATGGAAAAGAATCTGAAAAAAAATATATATATGTATGTTTGTGTATGTGTATGTATAACTGAATCACTTTGCTGCACACCTGAAACTACCATTGTAAATCAACTACACTTCAATAAAAATAAGAATTTAAAAAAAGACAAAACAAAAAAGACTAACACTTTTTAGGGTATAAAAGTAAAGCATATTGAAAACGTCTGTTGTAAGAAAATATGTCCTAAAACAAAATTGAAAGACAAGTGACAAAGAGAGGGAAATACTTGTAACAGTTACAACAGACAAATATTAATACTGAGAATATGTAAAGAACTCCTTCTAGTCGACCAGAAAAAAACAAGCAATCTCGTAAAGAAATGAACAAAGGAACAAAGAATGGAAATCAGAGGAGATGAAATAGAAATGGCCAGTAAATACATTAAATAATGCTCACCTTTGCTAGGAATCATGGAAATGGAATTTTAAAAGTGATATACCATTTCCACCCATTGTAATGAAAAAGATTCTAAGTTTTCTAAAATTAACAGTTGGTGAAGGAGTGCGGTGGGGATATTCCTGTCGTTGCTGGTGGGAATGTAAGTGACAGTGACGGGAGAACGTGGCAGTGCTATAGTGGAGACGAGCCTGCCTTCGTGGCCCAGTCGTTCGGCTCTTGGAAGTTACCTGCAGGAAACACTGTGGTACAGTTTCCCTCGTGCCTGTCCCTAATACACCTTGGTATTTCGGGCTTCTGACCTCCAGAACTGTAAGAGAACATATTTGTGACGAAAGATAGGAATTTTGTTGTAATTTGTGCAAGAAGCTGTCTTTGCTGCCGTCAGTGCCGGCCAAGAGCAAGCTGTCTTGGAGGAAGGGTAGCATGTGGTTTTTGGTAGGATGTGTTTACTCTGCGAATCTGGTTTGGGGGAGATTTGCCTCCAACTCTTGCCTCGTTAGAGATGGGTTGGCCTCATCTTCACCTGACCAGCCCACGCGAGGGAAACAAACCCTCTTCCGGCTCCCCTGAGACTAAAACCTTTGTTAAAGAATTCTTGGATGTCAAGGCAGTCTCTTTGAAGGATAAGACAGTCTCTGAATTTCAAGGTTTTGCCTGATGATGAATCTTGAGATGTTAGGTTTGATGAGAATGAAGATGTTCCCTCTTCTTTCAGATTTAAATTCTAAGCATGCTTGAGCCATTTCAGCTCAGGCTCTGGGAAGCCAAAGAGAGCTGAGGGTGAAAAAAAAACAGCTCAGTTTTATTGTATGTGAGATGCCAGCCAAGTAAGAAGTTATAAAACCCTGCAGCCGTCACCAACTGTCTTGAAACTCAGACCTGAATGAATGCCTGCGGACCACTTCTCCCGAAGCAATAGGGGCTCCCACTCACCCATCACTGCCCTCGTTACTGGAGATCAGACGGGAAGAGAATCCTTGCCTGGGAAAATGCTGACCCTCCACCACAGCCACGCATGGACGTGCTCGGGAACAGAGGAAGCAGCCAGCCTGGGCCGTCCACTGGTGACACGAGCACTCCTGTCCCACAGCTCCAGGAAATGGGAGAGAAGCAGCTGTCCACTGCAGAAGCAGGAGGAATATTCTGTCTTCACGCACCCTCCTTAAACATCCACATCTTCCCCAGCCCGTGGTCTACTCCCATCTTTTCAGAAATCAGAGTTCTGGTCTTTTTCCACTGGAATCGTGGAGCAAGTGCTTCTAAACCTACTTCTGGTCAGAACAGTTCCTTCTGTTCGGGGTCTACAGCGCAGACTGCTGTGGTCTGCTCATCCCACATTCTGCCCTTTCTCCTCAGGAAATAACTCTGGTGGGATCTGCAGTCCAGTGGTCTACTAGAGCCTGCTTGTACCAGCCCACAAGAACCAATCTTTAGATTTTCAAGAATTTTGGAAACCAACTGTTAAGGCTTAGTAGCTCGAAATTGGCTGTGGTGGGAATATTTACACCGCAAAAATTGGCAAATGTTACAATCAGGACTTTTTTTTTCCTTTCTTTCTTTTTAAAGAGGCCAGGGGCTGCAACGTTGCCTTATCAGAACACCACTGGGGGTGAACAGGCAAGTGAAAAACTACATTTGCCAGCTTCCTTTGTAGTAAGATATCACCAAGGGGTCAGTGAGATATAGGAGGAAGCGCTGTGTGGGACTTCCAGAAACAATTCCTAGAAGGGAGAGTTCCCCTCTTCCTCAGTATTGTTGCCTGAAATATGAATACAATGGCTGGAACTGCAACAGCCACGTTGTACCATGAGGTCAAGGCGCACTAGATGGTCCCTGATGGCTTGAAGCTGTCGAACTAATGTAGATTATTTAACCCCAGAGCAAAAATATACTTCTGACTTTTTTAAGCCACTTTTTATCTGGAGGTTTTCTGTTCTATGTAGCAACATCTGATCCTAATTGTGGGACCCAGATGACAGTAAATTCCTCATCAAGCAGACACGTGATATTTGCTACTCAGTACCACAGTGGCTTACAGATGTTGCTGCTCAGCTACATTGTGCTCTTCCTTATATGGGCTATAGCTGCCTACACATACCTCACCATCCTCAAACTTGCCTTCCCATGAAGTGGCCACTAATAATTTTTCCTCAGTGTTAACATTTGGCAAATCATTAAAGTCTCCCACACGCCCTGAATCCTCTGGAAGTTTCACACCACAGCAGCTGGCTGGTGCATTCTGTTGTTGAATGATGTCCTTATGGCAGGAGCTAAGCCTAGACTCAGCTCACCAAGCGTCTGTGTGGGGAGGAGGGCTCGGCAGGGATGATCAGCTCAGGGAACTTAGGGACAAGCTCCAGTTAAAAAAGACTAGGGGAGAAGGAAATGTCTGTTAAATGATTGAAAACAGTGATGCAAATGAACACCTTTTCCTGTCCAATTTTACAGGCTGTGCTATTTCAGGACCAGGACACAGACTGTAGCATCTTATTTTTAAACAATTGGTTAATGAAACAAAAGTGTAGCCTGTTTATCAGGTAATTGAGAGATTGATGTTTTTCTGAATTAAGCTAATTAACCAGCTGTAAGTCATCATAAGCATGACCTCTAAACTGACTAAATAAACCTCTGATGTAAAAGTAGACAACTTCTCTGCTGAGTAGTTGCAGGAATCACCCTCAGGGACAGACACCTACTCGT